CTGCAGGAAGACAGTGTCCCTCAGTTTGTGCTTGGCAAGTGGCCAGCAGCAGCCCTGTTCAGACACAGTGCTAAGAGCCCAGGAACACTGAGGTCTGGGACTCTGATTCGTAGAGTATCTCCTGCCTGGCCAGGAATCCATCGTGGGGGTGACATAGCTGTGCTGGCAAGTGTGCCTGGTGTGCGTCATGAGGGGCGGCCGCACCAGGGACAGGGCAGGAAGGGCAAGAGACGGGTCGTGGTGAGACGTGCATGGCTTGCTTTGCACTGTGGGCCTCCTGTTTCTCCCCGTGGGCTCCTGAGTGCTGTGAGCCCTGCTGTGGCTCTTAGGCCTGCTTCTCCTTCCCTCACCAGGACCTCAGTTAATGACCTGGGCCTCTCTCTCCAGCATAAGGTCCAGGGGCAGGTGGATACAAGGATCACTCAAGATCGCTCTTCAAGGCAAATAGCTTCTATCGCTGTGCTCAGAGGGTGCCTGGTGAACTCTGCAAGGAGAAAAGGTCACACCACCTGTGTGGTCTGAGCATTAGAGAAGGAGACAGGAAATGACCGTAGGATGCTGCTAAAGTGTTTTTCTAGATTGTTTTGTGATGGCATTTTCCCATAGTACTAGGTATAATTAAGGTGTTAATAAAGATGGCCGACAGAGTCTTCTCACTCTCTTCTTCTCTAAAACCTCCATCTGGTAGAACCTATTCTGAATACCAGCATTGCCTCATAAAGAATACGTACTGGGCATTTATTATGTACTGATCAATCAAAGGAAATAATTAATACCCTATGCGTAGAATCTAAGAGGCATACATTTTCTTATCAATGGCATATGCATAAGAAAGCACTGTGTTACAGCTTCATGAGTATGCTTTCTTTCCTTAGTCGGTACTTTAATTTCTCACACTTTATGCAATATGTTACATATAGACAAATCTGTTTTCTGTTAAGTGTTCGAATGATGGTAAATAAAATGTCTGATTGGTTCAGAGTCAAGTGATATGCCTTATCAGGACTATTTATTTTCTGAGAAACAGAACAAAATCGAGGCAGCACAGTTGAGTTTTAAAAAGGGCATTAAAGGTGTCATCTGACCACATGGGGTTTTGAGCCTCCGTTTCTTTATCTGTGAAATGAAGATAATGGAACCTGCCTCACAGCATGGTTAGAAGTTTTTGATAAGGACTCTAACATGCCATAGAAAGTCAAGGATAATTTTACTAAACAGCTAATATTAAGCATAACCTTAAATGTATTCAGAAAGCGTGCAGGGTCTCACAGTTTAGAAGCCATTTCAGTGTGCTGGAGGGCTGCTCTGGAGGTACCGTGACAGACAAGGATCCTCTCTGAATGCTGCCACGGATCTTGAAGGCTCAGTAGATATAGCTGAGAAAGCTTTAAGCCTCTGACACCTTCAGAATTACTCTAAAAAAATTAATCCCTGTCAGAATGAAGAGGAAAACACTATAGAATTTTCAAATAGGATGGCAAAAAACAAGGATGGTCTCTATCCTGACTGCTATTTAACATGGCATTGGGAGTATTTGTCCATGAAACTCAAGAAGAGAAGTAATTAGTTAGAGGCATTAGCTAAGTCTGTAGGGGCAAAACAATCTCTATTTTCAGATGATATAATTATATATTTGGAAAACTCCAAAAATTAGCAGAAAACTACTATAAACTATAATAGAACTTACTAAAACAGCAGTTTAAGAAAACAAACAAATTTCAATAGCCTTTATATTTACAAACAATTGTTAGAAGGTATAATGGAAGATTCCATTCATAACAGGTAAATAAATACTAAAGAGGCATGAACTTAAATATAAATGTTCAAACCTATAAGAGAACACTAAACCCTCCTGCAAACACACAAGGAGATGAGAATGAATGGAAGACATGTCATGTTCTGTTATAGGAAGGGGATTTCCTTTGCATCTCAATAAAAACACCATCAATTTTTTTTTCTGGTACTAGTTGTTTATAAAAATACTTGAAAAGAACAAACAATCAAAATATAGAGGTAAACCCTTAAAAAGACAAGGAATATAGAAGTGGAAGGGGCTACCTCTACCAAGTATTAAAATGTACTACAAAATGATTACCTGTAAGAGAAGAGTTTTTTTTTTCTGGTACTAGTTGTTTATAAAAATACTTGAAAAGAACAAACAATCAAAATATAGAGGTAAACCCTTAAAAAGACAAGGAATATAGAAGTGGAAGGGGCTACCTCTACCAAGTATTAAAATGTACTACAAAATGATTACCTGTAAGAGAAGAGGGTAATGAGTGGAAGAGACAGAAATGAGAGCTAAACTTTTCTGAATATACCTTGTTGTGGAGTGCCGACTTCAGGAACATGTAAATATTTTATATACTTATAAAACAAAATTAGGTTTGTTAAAAAAAATTCTGAAAGCAAAATAAGACAAATGAACCTGGCAGTTCTATGGGGGAGAGGTTGACTAGAGAGGAATTACTTCAAAAGATAGTGTGCTTAGAAAAGCAGAATGAGAAAGGCGTCCCAAGCAGAGAGGCACGTGCAAAGCCCTGAAGATGGGGAGAGTGCCGGACGGGTGCGAGCACTGGGCAGAGGGAAGGTGGTAGATGGGAGGTGGGGTGGGCAGTGGTGGGGCACCACTCCATGAAGTGTTGGATGAAGGAGAAAATGTCTATCCGGGGGATCTCAAGGTGTGGGCATCACCCAAGGGAACTTGTCAGAATGCAGAATCTCACCCCAGACCTGCACCAGAAACTCTGGGGGTGAGGTTCAGCAACCTGTGTTTTACAAGTCTCCTAGGTGATCAGATACCCAAGAAGTTTGAGAACTATTGATCTGTACCAGCAGTTCTCAATCAGGAGTGACGAACCCCCAGGGAACATTTAGCAATGTCAGAATAGACTTCTGGATGTAAGACTTTGGTGGGGGACAGGTGGGGTATTACCACCACCTAGTAGCCAGGGTGCTGTTACACATCCTAGAATGAGGAGGGTGGCCCCCTGTGCAAAACCCAACTGTCTGCAGCACCACGGGTGAGGAGTCCTTGCCCTTCCTGCATCCCTCTCCCTCTTTGTCTCTGTCCTTTATGTCTTTTTCTATCTTATCTTATCCCATCTTATCTTATCTTATATATCTTTATAGCTAATCTATCATCTATCTATCTATTCTCCTTCCATTTTTCCTAGTAGACAGCAAAAGCATTCTTAAGGCCATTAAGTGCTCCTTTTCTGCATTTTTATTTATTCCATTACAGACAACCCTCCGCTTTTACTAGTAACACCCAACAATGAAGTTATTCTATGGCTAATGGAGGCATTTAAAATTTTTGCCCTGAATGGGGCCAATCACCTCCCCGGGGGTGGGCAGTGCTACCCACGCTTGAAGCTGTGCCTCGGCATTTTGCATATGAGCTTACACAGGAAGGCCCCAACAGCCGGGGGTCCTGACTTGGCATGAAAGACAGTTCCAGTGGGGGTTTGGGCTTGGAATACTTTGACTACTACAGGAGATATCAGGCACAGCTCTGACTTGCTCCCCAAGAACATGGAAGTAAACATGTCTGCCGAGAGCTCAGCCACAGAGTCCATACAGAACAGCCAGAAGCAAAGGTACACAAGGTCATGTTATCAGAGAGGCTGCGATGCACCAACCAGACAGGATGCTAATCTGGTTGGAACAATGACAAATCAGAATAATTACATGTACCAGAGGAAGGTGTGTGGGGTGAAAAGAGTGAAGAAAATATAAGGCTGTAAAGACAAATACTGTTGGTGCCCAGCTAACACTTTCCAGGGAATTCGATGCCCTTAAAGAGCAGCATGAATGCTAAGTCTGCTGGATGGACCTGCACTCTCACAGAGGAGGTAAATGCCCAGGCTTTCGGAGTCTAAAGCCATTATCCAGCACCCTGGCTCTCCTCAGGCCCCTACCGCAGCCTGCTGACAACTGTCTTCCCCTCGGTTTGCACAGGAGAAAACGCCCTGGTGAAACGGATGCGAACACAGAGTCTGCTTGCCGGACGTGCTTCTCACTGAGCCCGAGTCAGCTGGCCTTTCAGTTTACAGGCTCCAGTATTTCCTTAGTCACCCTGAACTGGTGGAATCAACTCTGAGCAGGAATGAAATGACGTCCAAGGTGGAGGGAGGCTCAGACCGCAGACCCCAGGGAATGCTCCTGGAGCCTGCCTCTGGCATTCGGCCTGTATCTTCCTTTGGTCACCCCGCAGTGTGTCTTTTTTTTCACTTTGACATTCGCATGACACTCAAAAAGCATTGACAGAAAATAGCCCCCCACCAAGAGGAGTCTGCGTTCTCCCCCCACCCCCGAGTCTGAAGTGATGGTGTGACTTGCTGCGGCCCGTGGAATGCGGAGGAAGTGACCTTCTACGAGCTCTGTGAAGAGACCTCAAAAGACCTGGCCACATCTGCTCTTCTCTTGCTCTTTTGGAGTGCGAGGGTCCCTGTGTGCGGTGTCCAAGCTAGCCCACTCAAGGACGAGAGGTAGGTCACTTAGCACCCCCATCGCCCCTGATGACGGGCAGCCAACGCACCAGAGCGGAGCGGCCCTGGTGTGTGCAGCTGAGCACAGGTGCGTCCATGTGTCCCAGTAGGACCAACAGGGAAACTGCCCAGATATGCCCCACCTGCCAGTGCACAGAACCATTACTTAAGTAAATGGCTATTGTTTTAAGTTCCTAAATACAATAGGTAATTGATACAGCAATATTTGTGCTTTTAATAATTCCCAATTGCATCCTAGACTTATTGCTACAGTTTGTCCCTGAGAAGCCATGGGCTTTGCCTCTTGACATGACACAATTGAGATTTATCTTGGACTATCTCATGAGTCTCAATGCCTGTAGGAGCAGAAATAACCCCTGCTTCTTCCATCAAGATGTTAAGAGATTTGGGTAAATGCTATGGGATTTGGGGTTTGCCAACATTCACCCAAGGAGAAAGACAAGGGTTAAATACACAATTGCATTTATCAGACATAGACAGATTCCTGACCTTCAGCCGGCGGTCGGGATCTCCACTGCATAGAGAATTTACTGATACTTTGAATGATTTCCAGGCTGGGCTTAAATTATTCATCACAACCTGAGGAAATAAAGAGAGGAGTGGCCGTCAGGGAGGACATGCTTGGCATTTTCACCTTTCAGCATAAGAACTGCTTGGGAAGCATTGTGGGCCTTATGAAAAGGAAAACTATCTGAAACAGGTGCCTTAATGAAAACTGGCGGTAAGTTTCTTCAGGGGGCCCCCTATGTGGGCTGTTATGAGCAGAATTCCAGCAGCCTCCAGCCTGGCTATTGTCTCATGAATAATGACAGTACTGTCTTCTAGCATGTGGACGCTGGCAATGACCCCTTGTATACAGAAAGGGGCTAGGATGAGGCAGGTAGACTGACTCTGGTCTCAGTGAAGGATCCCCAGTTACAGGACTGCCAGTCCTATGGCATCTATTCTCTTCTTTTGAGGTCAGTAGAGATAAAGACTATTGGTGGGTGTGGGGGGCAATTCTACTGCTAAAGAGTCAAATGGTCTTTGGTAACCTGTGACCTGGATTCCCAATTGCATCCTAGACTTATTGCTACAGTTTGTCCCTGAGAAGCCATGGGCTTTGCCTCTTGACATGACACAATTGAGATTTATCTTGGACTATCTCATGAGCCTCAATGCCTGTAGGAGCAGAAATAACCCCTGCTTCTTCCATCAAGATGTTAAGAGTCTCAGTGAAGGATCCCCAGTTACATAACTGCCAGTCCTATGGCATCTATTCTCTTCTTTTGAGGTCAGCAGAGGTAAAGACTATTGGTGGGTGTGGGGGGCAATTCTACTGCTAAAGAGTTAAATGGTCTTTGGTAACCTGTGACCTGGATCTCTATCACATTGCAAATCAAAGGAGAAGTTTCTAGAAGAGAAATCCCAGAAGCATACTTATACTAGCTATCCTAGGAAAGGACAACAGGGTAGATGTTCAGATCTTCAGAGTCACAAACTAAGTCTATAACACCTTTTAAAATAATAATCATGTACTTGGCTAACTCCTGCCCAAAAGTCCATAAAAGTTAAGCCTGCCATCACTATGATTCAAATAATTCAGTTTGGTTTAGAATGTATGCATATCTGCCCTGTGTATAGGATTATGCTGTGCACTACTTTAGGACAGGGGTTTCCAAAGGGTGGTTCTTGGGCCAGCAGGAGAACCAGACTTACCTGGGAACTTGCTAAACATGCAAGTCTGTAGGTTCTACCCAGACCTACTGACCAGCTCTGGAAGTAGCCCTCTTGGTGATTCTAATGCATGAATTTGAGAACCACTGCTCTAAGGGGCATGCATGTGGAATTCTGTTATATTAATTTGTCTTTCTATGAAGTTTTTAGTGAGTCAGAAGTCTTAGCATTGTAAAAAAAATTAATTCTCTATTCAAATAATGCAATTATTTCATAAGTGATTCCCTTCTCTACAGGATTCCTTATGTAACTATGAATTGTTGATTATATCACAGTCATTAAATTTCTTTGAATACATTAAAGTAGAAAAACAATGTCCCTGCCTGGCTTTATCTCATGCCCTGATACTTTCGGGATGATCAAAGTGACAGAGAGAAGAAAAGTTAGATAAAATTGTTTGGGTTAATTTAAATTTCTCACCTCTATATAAAAATATTAAGATGTTTCATTGCAACAGTTTTGAAAAGCTCCATAGCAATCACAATTTCAACCAAAAATTTCCTCTGAAGTTAAAAATTTAAATGTGTGCATGTATGTGTGTGAGCACGTGTGTCCCTCAAGAAATTAGTATTGTTCAGTATTTAGTTTGTATCTGTTGTGTAAGAAAGAAGAAGAAATCAATGTTATGTTTCTTGACTTGATGGAAAACTCCCAATCACATTTCTTGTGAGACCCCAAGAGCTCCTCAGTAAGGAGGTGTGGGGCACATGCTAGAGATTCTTCGCATTAGGACAATTTAGCAATATCAATAATGAGGACTGCTATTGGGAGCAAAGGAGAGGTGGGTTTGTGAGAGAAGCCAGGCAACATGCCGTCTCCACCTCTGTCTGCGTGTTAAAGCCTTGGTTCATTGACAGAGCAAAGCAGCAATGGCCACCCCCTCTGTCCTCCTCAAGAAGTTTGCTCCGCCCAAGGAAGCTTTATGGGTGATGCAGACACTATTTGAGGGTAGTGCTAGGGTGCCATTTAGGGAAACTGTCTCCTTGCACCTGGAGCTGCTCCCCAGGGTTCACATTCCAGGGCCTCAATTGTATAGCATTCAGTGGGCCTGTGTCTCCCCCCAATGCACTCATTCATCCATTCTTTATTAAACACATTTCATCAGATGCCATCTAGGTACAGATGGTACCCAAAGACTAGCCCATCAAAGATGATTTAATACTTGTTCACCTTAAATAGGACCTGGAAAGTGCCCTTGTGAGTGCTACTTGTGACTATTTAGGAAAATGGGACTGGATTTCCAGCAGAGGAAGTGGGAACCTGGCACCTCATTAGCCCTCCTGTGACAGTCACAAAGGCTCTTTCCCCCTCCGCCCCACCACTGGCATGTGACATGGCCTGGGCTTCCTCAGCTACTAGCATGCATCACTGAGAGCCCACTTTCCCCTTATCAGTGCACTTCTTATTCCCACGGGATCTTACATCCCTGGTTTGTAAAAAAATAAAATGCAAATTGGAGATTGGGGTTGGTTGTCAAATGGGTGTGTGGTAGTGGGTAGTGGGGGTGGAGTAGTGAGGGGTAAGGTTTGGAGCCACATGGGGAAAGAAGAGGCCAGGTTAGAAGGATCTGCAATGAGACCAAGTGACTGCGGGGACAGGCCACTGATCACAGGGCAGGCCCATCATGAAGCCAGCACATAAACCTTCCCTGGGAAGGCAGACTGGCTCACAAACACAGTGATGCTCAGGGTCAACCAGACTCAACCACACCTCAGCTCCATTCTTCACTGACTGTGAGAACTGGGAAACTGACTTGACCTCCCAAAAGTTCAATTTATTCAAGTGTAAAATGGAAGTAACACTCATATCAGGAATTTTTCTGAGAATAAGTAAAATATAATATATAAATAACATAGTACAATGTTTGACACCTAGTCTGTCATTAATTATTCATATTTTGACTTTTATTTGTATTTTGCTAGTGTTCATATTTTTACTATTAATAAGTATTGAAGGTCAACAATGGAAAATTTGGGCAAAGGAGTGTCTTACAGCATCTAAACTGAGAATTAGAAAAGGCTGCAGATGGCAGAGCATCCTCTGAGAACAGTGATAGCCCAGGTCTGAATGCGCAGCTGCCGCGTTAGGAGATGTAAGGGGCCTCCCAGGACAGGCCACGTCTCTTCTCAGGACATGAGATGCAGAGGCGATGGGCCCCTCTCACCTCAGTTCGGTGTACAAGCTGCTGAGTTGCATCATCATTCATACGAAAAATTTCTAGAAATGGGTCAGATTTACTGAAGAAATCCTAAAATAGACAAACAAAAATTAGTGGTTCACACACACACACACACACACACACACACACACACACACACACACACACATTTAGCGCAGCCCTGGACTACACACACCTGGATCTGACCTGTCTGGCCTCTGTCCTCATCCCCGCCATTCACCCTTGCCCAGAATAAGCTGCATCTGAACTCTGAGTCCTTACAGAAGTAAGACCCTGTTGAGTGAAATCCAAAGTATTCTTCCAAGATCAATTCAAATGCAGTTCTTTGAGAAGTAGTGTATCTGTTGTCTTAAATGTATTAATTATGGTTACTGTAAAGACTGTGTTTGATGACTGCAATACCTGGGTCACCTATGGGTGTGTTTTAATTATCTGTTCGGCCTCAACAAAATGTTCTCAGTGGGTGTAGTGATCATATAGCCTTTGTGCTTGATGTCAAGATAAGGAAGGATAAAACCTGGTCTCCACCCTGCCAAGTACCATCTAGTTTGGTGGTAAAACAAGTACACAAATGAACATAACCCAAGGCTGAGCATGAATGACTGACTGACTGAATGAATGAATGAGTGAATAAACAAACAAATAATATGTAACAGAAAAGAGGGGAAGTTGGTGGATTTGGACTGGAAAATGTGGTTGTGAGGAGGGCATTTCTAGGGCCCAAGACTGAGTAAAGGTGTGAAAGAGTAAGCACAGAGGGGGTACACCCAGTGGCTTAGTTCCGTTGCTGCCTCAGGATGCTCAGGGGGCATTCAAGACAACTCTGAAAAAGTGAGCACCATTGTGTGAAGGGCCTTCAGTACTCATACGAAATCTTTGCATTCCGTGGGAGGCAATGGGCATTCACTGAAGGATGTTGGCAAAGAACATAACATGATTGACTCTGTGGTAAAGAGTACCAGCCTAGAAAGTTTGCAGAATACCTCAGAAGAGAAGAGATGGGAGGCAGGGACATCTCTCTTGCCTGTTGCTGTTCTCCCAGCAGGAGCCGGGAGCCAAACAACCGGGCGCTCAACACCATGCCCCACAACACCAGAGCCTGAGCACACCCTCCTGCTCCGTTCCGGAAGGACCAGATTCCCACAGCCCCCTGGGAGCCCACAGCGGTGGCTTTCATCAGTGAGTCTGCCCTGCAGGCCTTGTCTCTCCACTGACATGGTCCCAGGTCTCTGCCCATACACACTTCTGATTCCTACCTCTATGCATTTACATAAGACATCTGCCCGTGGAGACTATTTCTGATTCAATACTCTCAATAATCATCTGAAGACCTCGGAGTACCCCTTGCCCCACTCCCTGCATGGAAATGGGCCACAGTACGTCTTTCTAGGAGCCCTTGTGCTCCGAGTGCCAGGCCTCACCTTCCTAAGTAGGTTCCTCAGGGAATGTAGTTGTGAATTGTACTTAAAAATTTAATTTTAATAAAATTAAAAATCTTAGAAGTAATTGGAATCCATTAGTTATTTTTCTTTTTCCTTTCACTGATAATTTAAAACATTGTCATTTTTATTTAAAAATAGAAAACACAGAAAAAATGGAAAGATGACAAAAATAGAAAGAAAAAAGTAGCCCATAATTTCACCCATAATTCCACAACAATCAATAACATGTTGGCAAATATTCTTCTAGAATCTAGATACACTTTTTTCTTTCTTTCTTTTAAAAATTCTATTTGTAATCATACTGTATATACTCTTTATTACCCTACATTTTTCTCTTGGTAGTATACTGCAATGCTTTTTCCATTTTATGTCAAAAATACCCTTTAGGGTTAGCATGAAGTTGTCGTCAGGAGGATATACTATAAATCAAGGAAAAATCAAGTAAAGAAAGATCAGAAACAATCTCTATAACTGATAATCTAACACAGAGCACACTGGCTTCAGAGCTGCTTTCCACAAGCTGACTCCACCGGGTACAGTCTGGATGACCTGGGACAAGATGCTTAATTCTTCAGGTCCCAGTTTCCTTGCCTTTGGCCAAGTGGCAGTGTGGAAGAATTAGAGGTGCTGATGCACATGATGTGCTGAGTCCAGCTGCTGGCATGTGCTGAGCGGGCAGAAGGTGCTGCTGCTGTGATTATGATCAGTAAAAGAGAGGATGTCTGAGGACACTTTACAAAGCACTGTACAATAGCAGGGATGATGACTGTTAAGGCATCTGATACCTGGAAATAAAATAACTCAGAAGCAGCTCAAAAATATCTTAAATGTACACAGAAATTTGTAGCTTAAAAACCACAATTCTGGTTATAATTGCATAGTTACTGGACCACAGTCTGGAATTTTCAGCTTTCATTGCTTGACTACCAGCTTTAAGATGGCCCTGGGACAGTTCAATGAATGAACACTGATGACACAGGCATTTTACTGAAGGTTTGTTCTGGTGAAAGTTTCTAATGACTTGGAGGCCATATTGCTCTGCCCTTTTAGTCCAACATGGGAAAGACGTAGTCAAATGTGAGGGCAACAAGCAACCAGCTGGGGCATGGGATAGGAAAGGAAGCAGTGCATTTTCATGACAGTGGTCTTAAAAATAGAATATTAGAACTAGGAAAGACTGAAAGATTTGAGGTCATATTTAGTCTCTATAGATTCCTAGCCTTGTGATTTTGGGCAAATTGGTTAACCTCACTATGCTTCACCTGTAAAATGGCAGTAATAATGCCCACCTTTGGGAACATGGTTACGAGTTGTGAGAATAATGTAGGTCAGGCACCTGACACCTGGTAAGTGGCAGATGCTCAGGGACTATAATTTGCTCTCACTAGGCCGTTTCAGCTTTCAGGAGGGCATTCTTGGGCATAGTGAAATCACAGCCCAGCAGATGATTTAACGCTGCTTTAGAATAGGGGTTGGCAAACTATGGTGCATGGCCCAAATCCAGCCTATTGCCTGTTTCTGTGAATAAAGTTTTATTGAAACACTGCCACACTCATTCATTTATGTATCATTTATGGCTGTTTTCAAGCTTTACAGGAAGAGCTGAGTAGTTGGGACTGAGACCATATGGCCTGCAAAATACAAAATATTTACCATCTGGCCCTTTATAGAAAAAGTTTGCTGATCTCTGCTTTAGAGACCTACTTGTTTGCTTGTACAACAGCCTGCCCAGCCAGCAGCATGGGGACCCCACATGTGCAGTCTCGAATGAGTCCCTCTGCAGATGTGGAGAGTGCCAGTATGAGAATCAGCTCTGACACACTGGCATGAACAGTTCTGTGGGGAGGGCAGGACAAAGACTACTTTGTCAGCTTCAGTGTTCCAGAGTGATCACATCCATATCTCTACTCACCTGTTAGATTGTCCATCAGCTGCTAATGCGATAAATGTGCCTTAGAAGTTAGAAAGAAATTTCTCCACTAGTAAACTGTACCAACATTAGATAAGTAAGTTATTTTTTGTAAACTTCATCTATTTCATGTGTGGCCTCTCAGATTTCAAGGATTCTGGATTTTTGGCTGCTGGTCTGCTGGACAATACTGGAAAGGCAAGTTAAAAATAACTATTTCTATCAAAAAGGGTCATTTCTCTGTCGTTGTGGTTTATAAATACACTTAGTGCTCCCAGGTAAACCCTACAACAGTGGTTCTTAAACTTTTTGGTCCCAGGACCCCTGTACATTCTTCAAACTATTGAGGACATCAGAGAGCTTTTGTTTATGTGAATTATATCTATCTATATTTACCATATTATAAATTTAAAACTGAGAAAATAAAAAAGCATTCACTTGTCATATCAATTTCAAAATTGTAAAAATAAACCCACTGCATCATAACAAAAACAGCATTTAATGGAAAATTAATTATATTTTCCAAATTTAAAAATAGGAGAACGTCACTATTTTGCATTTTGCAAATTGGTTTAATGACTGGTTTACTGGAAGCCAGCAGTACTCTCATATCTGCTGCTGCATTCAATCTGTTGTGGTATTGGCATCCTGTAGTTTCACGTGTGAGAGAATGAGAGGAAAGAGAGAAAATAAGGTCTTATCATTATTCTGAAAATAATTTTAACCTCATGTATTCCCGAGAAGGGGTCTTGGGCCTTTGGATCTCAGTCTGAGGAGTGCTGCCTGTAGTCCATCCTCTTCTCCCTCCCCCTGGCTTCCTACTTCCCTGAGATACAGCACAGGTGACATTACCAAGTCCTCCGCAGCCTGAGGCCAGTCCGACTTATATTCGTTAGCCCTCAGCCCTGAAGGGAGATTTAGGTCAATAGGCAACCTGACTGAGTCCCTCTGTGTCACTACTTGTGAATGTGTGAGTGTGTGAGGGCATGTGTGTGTGTGTGTGTGTGTGTGTGTGTGTGTGTGTGTGCATGTGAGTGAGTGTATGAGCCTTGAGTAAGTCATTTCACCTCTCTGAATCTCAGTGTGCTTACTGGTAGAACAAGGCGATTGTGTTCGAGGCTTCCGCTTGAGGTATGGGGACACGTGGGGGTTACCAGAATCACTACATGGGAGCTGGCGATCCAGTCCCCAGTTTCCCATGACCACACTGTCAGAACTGGATAGAGTATATTTTCCCACATATTCATAACTGCAATTTAAGATACATATATATATAGCAGTTCAACTGCTAACATGTAAGTAGCTACAACATAATTTAATACTACAAGCCAGAAGGAAGTCCCCCTTGGGGACCTCTGGGGATTGTTTTTGCAGCTGTGACATGAAATAACTGTACCATCTTGCTCTAGTTCTGCCACAAAGGCACCGTGCAAACCACATTCCCAGATGCTCTGCGGTACCTGCCCCCCGCAGGCCGCTCCGCAGCGGGATGGCTGCGCCGACTGACCGAAGACCACGACGCAGGCGCTCTAGCTGCTGGTCAGGCTGAGCCCAGGCGTCCTGCCACCCCTCGTGCCAGCATGGGGCTGAGGCTCCCGGCTAGCTCCTCTGCCAGCTGGTCGTTACGGAGGGCCTCTGTCCACACCACAAGGCGCAGGAGAATTGCTCAGTTGAGCCTGGCCTGACTTTCTGATCCTCAAAATCATGCCTTATAATAAAATAGTTATTTTATTAACTAAGCACCACACTGTGAAGGACCTGGGGCCAGCAGCACTGGGGCATCAAGGCCCCCGGCCAGGACATTGGACAGCCAGTGCAGCCAAGGGTGGGAATGGCCCCCTGAGCCGGTAGGAAGTACTGCATGGGGCTCTTTGAGTTTGGGGAGCAAGGGCTCATTTGAATGAAGGGAGGGTGTTCAAACACATTACAGCCAGTGGGCCCACTAACAAACCCCCAAATTCCTTTTCACTGTAACACAAGTCAGTTAGAGGACAAATGAGGTACTTCAGAGACTACTAAGCAGAAAGAAGCCATTATAAGCCATTAAGTGACTAGCTTAAAACTGCTACACACAGACCCAATGGCTTAAAACAGAACCAGGAAAGAGTACAAGTAGTTTGGTGAATTATTCTGAAACTTGGAAGATCATGAGGGAGAAAGTACATACTGGTTGCAAACAAGTGAGGGTTAAAAGCTTGCCCCCAGCTGACCTCACTGCACACTGCAGTATGTGGCTCATGCCTGCTGTCAGAAGGCAGGAGGTAGGGGAGGTTTCATGCACTGTATTTGGAACACCAAAACATTCAAATATGGTGCATTTGTTCATAAGGACAAAGTGTTTCCTAGCTTTCCAGGCAGGAAAGAATAGCCCTTTTGAGACACTCCAATTGCACATCACTTATCACATTCTACCATGGCTATTGTGCTACTGTATCATTTGTTGTTTAAACTTACATTTCACTTAGATGGTGTCTTCCCAGTTGTGGGTGTGAGAGCATTTAAAGTGTGTCTTTTTCACCACCTGGTCCATACAAGCATGCAACAAAGGCTTGGTACATGAACAATGAATGAGTGAACCAGTGAAGAAATAAAAGAAAATGAATGAATGTGTAAATTGGGTGAATGCTTTCTGGAGGTGAAATGAATGAGATACCCCAGAATATAAGCTGCTGCTTTAAGCTTTGGAGAATTGCTTGAGACATTGCTGGCCCCTTTTCAACCTAATGCCTATGATTGTTTGAAAAAGTGGTGCCATATCCAAAAATCCCTATTCCCTAGATGATCTCTAGGAAATGGGGCCCTTTGTGAGTACATTTATTCATGTGACAGCTTTCTGGATTTAATAATATGGTTGGAGGGAATCATAAATATATGGTAAGGTTGGGAAGGGCACTCCTCCCTTTTTAAGGGGTGCAGACAGCAGAACTTTTCCTGTACACATAAGACTAATGTGGCCTGTGATTTGGTGAAGTGGGTAAGATATAACAGGAAGAATACAGGTGGGAGCCAGCTGACACGAACTGAATGCCCTGTTTTACCACGTCAGCAGGGTAGAGTGGCCATGGCAATGTGCCATGCAGAACCCCCATTACAGTGAGTGTAACTTAAACTGACCAAAGGCCCAGCAGCTGTGCCCTGACACCCATCCCTGTGCTTGCTAGGAGCTGGCTCCGGCCAGTGATAGCACGTGAGGGGATATTACGGCAGGCATGGGAGACATGGGACTGTCTTGATGGCCGGTTCTGGCTGAGGCCTCCTCGATGGCCCTGCCGAACCTCTCCCAGGTGGCACTGCTGCCCAAGCCACTGCACCCGCCCTTCTGGCCCTCTCCCCTTACCCAGGGCAGCCTTGCACTGTGTCTGCCATCCTCCCAGAGTCCTCCCTAAGTTCCCTACACAGGAATTCCTCCAAATAAGGTCCCTACAATATTTCATCCTGTCTCAGTGTCTGTTTCTTGGATTATCTGGACCTTAGACAAGTTACTTCCTCTTGGAATCTGTTTCTTCATCTGAAAAACTGGGTTAATAATACCTGTTTTATAGGAGTTGGAAGAATGACTAAATGTGATCATACACGAAAAGCTCTTAACCCTGTACCTGGCACACATAGATGCTTAATAAATATCACTCTTCTTCCCTTTCATATCTTCTCTTTTCCTTTGAAATGTCCTTAGCAAAGAGGCTAGGTCACATTTACTTGTGCACATCTAATCTGTGGTGTGGGGTCAAATGAGGTCTTGGTGTAATAAAATTGTCCTGTTTTAATTATAATCCTTCCCCCTTCTCATTAACTGCTTCTCAGTTTGGGGCAGTTCTTACTTTGCAGACCTTTCTGAAATCTTTGATTGTTTTCATAACATGGGAGGAAAGGGGCATATAGTTGCAGGTAGAAATCTGATCAAACTTTGTGTGCTGGACTCATTACTTCCTTCCACAAGGTTTATGCCAAACACTTTACCTTGTCATCCAATTTCCGTGCATTGAACGCAAGCTCAATGTAGTCATCATTGCCAGACAATTCTTCAGCAATCACCTACAGGAAAAAGCACACATCAGCTGCATTGGCAGTTGGACTGCTCAGTCCAGGAATTCATGAACAGACCTTGCACACATTTGGTCTAAAATCAATAGACTGATGTTAGGTAAGGAGTGTCCAGCACCCTAGTGAACATGACATGGCATTTCTAGTGTACAGGGACTCCCTAGACCAGACAACAGTAGGCAGGCAGATTTTACTTGTGCTGAGCACGAGGACCTGAGAGACAGTGCAAAGCTGGAGGAAGAGGTACTTGGAACAGCAGTTAGAGCTTCTTTTTGTACAAGTCACAGCATTGGATGGCACTTCCATAAATAATTACATAAATAAATATTTTCCTTTGGAAAGTTACCAAGGAGGAAGAGCAATAACATTTCTCCACTGTTGGGAGTCAGATCAACAAGGGATCAAGGATCAACCAGTCTCTGTGTCCTTTCCAGACCAACAGTTGGCTATACGGTCATTAAGGGAATGTTCTAATTCCTATTTTTCAAACAAGCCTGTCTCTGGGCTCTCTGAAATGAGGACAGAGAAAGAGAATAAGGACCTTAACCCTCAACTCCCAAGAACAGAGAATTCCCATTAAGGAATTTGGTATAAGTTAAGATGCAGTATCGGCTAAAAGCCTCTCTCAGAAGTCACTTTCCAATATTTAACAGAGACTCTCAAAGCCTTAGAACAGAAATTGGTGGAAAACAACAATAACAAGAGAAACCTAGGGGCCAGTCCAGTTGCATGCAGGCTAAACCATTCATGAAGGATATTAGGGCTGCACTGCCTATGCAGAGGCCACGGCACATTAGATGCCCTCATCAGGCAGGTTACATGGAGGTGCTGAGTCTTTGGTTTATCTCCTTTCTGGCTGAGCTCACCTTTTCCATCATGAGTTGGATCATCTGTTCTGAATACACACTGGTTGCCTCTGGATGATTTTATTTTTCACCTAATATTAAAGCTAAAAAGGTTGTCTCAAGAGGGAAAGACCCCTCCTCTTTCCCCCCAAAAAAGTGTGAGCAACTGAGGGGCAGGGAAAATGATCCAGATTTGCTGTGAAAACTCAAGAACTGCTTGATAAGCCAGGAGCCTCCCTATTTAGAGTTTTTATTCAGTGCTTTTCATCCTTGTAGCCCTCCTGCTTCCCACACTCCACCTGGACAGTGGCCTGAGCTATGTTGGTCACAGATACCCTTGGAAAGATGAAAAATGTCATGATCTCCATCTATGAAGCTGAGAAAATTTTGCACATATATTCTAGTGTTTTTCAGAAGCTATTGAAGTCCTTGTTTGGATCCAAGGACCCAAGGTTAAGAAGAATATTTAAATATTTAAAATTAAGAAGGAGATTAAATTATCCTGGGATGTGTGGAGGAAGAAACTCTCCAAGATGTCTTAGAGAAAAGGTGGCAAAATGACGTTTTGCTCCTGGGAAAGAACAGCAATGTCGCACCTGGGCCTCCCACCCGCACCTCCTCTGGGCTGCTCGCCTCAGGAGCGAGCCCTCAGGTCCGCGTGGGCGACAGCCCCAGGGGTCTTCAAAGGTCGCTTGAACCATTCGTTCCCTGCTGAATATGGCAGCAAAGAGAAAGCTTTGACGTGACTGGGTCATTTAATATATTCAAGCAGCAAACTCAGGTAAGTTCTTCTGAGAATGGTCATCACTTTTACCACTGGGAAGCCTTTTGAAATTTTTCTTTAAAAAGTGGCTCAAATTCTTTTTTTAATGAATTAGTCACTTTGAAGTTAAAAAGGATTGTTCAGAGGACTCAGGAGGTTTGCCTGCTGGCAATTTTCCTCCAGTAATTTAGATTTTCCTGGTACTTTTACTTTACTTTAGTCCATACAGTTAAATGCATGGGCCACTTTCTCAGTCTTTCTCAAGAGCTCTAATACCAGATGCCAAAGTTTCAAATGCTGGAGTTCTACTTGTAAATTAAGGATCATTAGAAACACTTCCAGTGTTGCCCATAGAACATTCTGCAATGACAGAAATGTTGTATAATGTGTGCTGATACAGTAGCCGCTAGCCGCATGTACCTGCTGAGCACTCATGTATGGCTAGTGGGAGTAAGGAATATTTGCCTTTATTTAAGTTTGCATAGTCACATGTGGCCAGTGGCTGGCAAACAGGACAACATCATTTCAAACTGTTGTTATTAAAGAGGAAAGTTAAATGCTGGACTTTCCAGTCCGTAGGTAACAAACACACCTTGGACTAAATGCTGTTAGACAAGAATTTTAATTCCCAAAACAATGAGAGGCCACATAGGTAGTTTTGATGATTTGAAGAACTCAGACAATTCTGTGTTCTCACCATGCTGGACACCCCATCTTTGTCCCTGCTAAAACCTGTATGTTAATTGCAGAAGTGCCAATAAAATTGAATGCCTCACTTCCAAATGCTTTTTCTACCCCTTTTTCCTAAGGGTGTAAGGTCAAAATTGTATGGGCAAGAAGGAGAAAGAAGGAAAAAAGAAAGGGGTGACTTGGAGAGCTGAACCATAGCGGCATCAACTTAGCACAGCCAGGAGAAGGTTACCGCCCGCATGCCCATGGGACCGGCCGGCCCCATCCAGGCCCAGAGCAGGGGGCTGCCCTGGGGACTTACCGTGATGGAAGACTTCCCAGCTGTGTTCCCGTGCTTCAGCAGTGACTTGGACAGCTTTCTCTGGGAGACAATCTGCACAAAAGGCAACACCGGGTGGGGATGAGAGTCACATAACCAAGGTCTACTTTTTAATTATTCCTCTACAAAATTCTGTATTCACAGCTTTACTTGAAGTTATGACATATGTCCATTTATTTTTCCATGAAATTCTACTAAATATAGGTTATTCCCTTCTTTCCTCTTATGGCACATGATGTAAGAAAGTGGGTATGTGAGCAATTACAGATAAGTCAGTCAGTTAGGTGGTGGCTTAATTGTTCATGTGACATTTATATAAAAATTAGATGGAAAATATTGTATATGCATATTAAGACAAAGCAGATGAAGTTTCAGAATGATCTCAAATTAGCACTAAAATCTTTTTGCAAAGTGAGGAATGAAATGCAGGAAGGGAAGAAACCCAAGGTCTAAATATACACCTTCTGTATCCATAACCTCTAGAGTTCTATTTTTAATATATTCTTTAGGAAGCTATGCAGTAAGTGATTAGGAAACTGATGCTCAGAGAAGCCAGTAGGAGTGACTGGGGTCCTCGTCATGGTTCGGGGTCCATACACAGCATGCAAGGGCAGCTAGACTATGCTTATATTGGGTGCTATTCTTAGCAGAATCTGTACCATCTCCTTCCTTCCCTCTTGATTACTTTTTTGAAAGAAAAATGTGGCAAGGCATTGAGGCTTTCCTGGGTATGTGATCCATGATTCACAAAAAGAAGTGGCTTAAAAGGATCAAGGGAAAGCCATTCTCTTGTCTAGGGAGAATAGTCACTGGTTGTGGTATGCAGTGTCTATCTATGACAGCCCTCACTGATCCTCACCTCCTGGTGTTCAGGCCACTGAATAATCCTCTCCCCTGAGTGTGGTGCGGAGCCAGGGGCTTGCTCCTAATGATAGAATGCCACAAAGTGATGGGATAGCACTTCTGAGATTAGGTTGCAAAATGAGTATGACTTCCTTCTTGCCAACCATCACTCGTTCCCTCTTTCTCTCAGCCTTTGCTGTGCGGGAAGCATGCTGCTATGTTGTGAGTAGCCCTGTCGAGCATCCTGTGTGGCAGGGAATTTATGTCTCCAGCCAATAGCCAGTGAGAGCCAGAGGCTTGCCAGCAGCACCGGGTGAGCCTAGAGGCAGGTTTTCTGCCACTTGAGCCTCGGGCCCTGACAGCGGGCTTATGAGAGAGGCCAGGGGATGCAACCATCCGGCCCCCTGATTCTCAACACACAGAAACTGTGAGATAGTAACAGTTTTTTAAGCTGTCAAGTTTTGGAGTAATTTTTTATACAGCAATAGATAATAATACAAACGCTATTTACAGAAAATAGGAAAGCAGATCATTGTGAAGAGCAAGGGGGCAAATCCACTCTGAAATCTTTATATATCTTTTCCTCTGTGTTGGAGCAGTGAGAATATTATGAATGTTTTAGTTTCAAATGCAAAAAGTTTGTGGAACTGCCCTAAACCAAGCAGATTTAAAGATCCTGCTTTTCAGTTGGATGTAATCTGAAGAGGGAAGAGAATTTCTGTGAAAAGTCACCTGGTGGCTATGATGAAGGTGAGAGTGCAGTGACAGCAATGGGGACTCGTGCTCGAGGTGTACCTGTTACGCGGCGGGTGCTCCGCTCACCCCCACATGTGTACCCGGCCTTCCCCATGTGCCGGATGTGGTGCCAGGCACGAAGGTTAGCGTCTGACCTCATGGAGCTTATAGTCCAGTGGGGGAGGGAGGCAAGAGCCAAATGGCCAAGTAAATACATGTGACTCATCACAGAGGAGAGACACTCCGGCCGCGGTGGGGGCGGTGAGGGTGTGCAGTGGGAAGGATGACCCTCGCAGTGAGTGGTCCCTGTAGGAGGTGATGGTGACTGTGAAGATGGAGAAGAGGCTTTATGAGATATTTGGGTATAAAATAGCCAGAATTTAGAAATGAATATGAAGAGAGAGGGAGGCATCATCAATGCATCCCTGGATCAGATGGCTGTGCCACTCACCGGCATGCGGGAAGAGGATGTTAAGTTTGGGGTCAAAGAACATGTATTCAGGTTTGGGGCAGAGAACACCCTGGAGCAGGACGGAGAGAGAAAGAGAGCAGAGGACATGGAGCGCACATCTGAGCCCAGTTCTTTCAACAAGTTTGGCTGTGATGTGGAGAAGCGGGATGGAATGGGATCTGAAGGGAGTGAGAAACTGGGTAAGGGTTTTGTTTCAGTGGTCACTTTATTGCTAATTTTATAGCCCCACAAGTTTGGTATTATTAATTTCCTTTTATGGATGAGAAAAACAGGACACAGAGAGTTCATGTAACTTTTCCAGGGCCGTAGAGGAAGAGGCCATGTGGCAGGGATTTGAGCATAGGTCTGACCCCGAACCTGATCTCTGGTAAGGGACCTGCTGGGTCTGCACTGTGTTCACTGTGGAGCCTCGTGTCTGAGCACCGAAGCCACTGTATGCAAACGTGGGGCCAGCTGCAAAGAAGGAACTGAGCCAGACCTCCAGAATGAAGCGACCTGAAGACACTGGCCTTGGGTAAGGGAAGGGTAGCATAATGATTATGAACAAAGGTTTTTATTCATTGCTGGTTATCAGTAAAATGCCACGAAAAGCATTTCAGATGATACAGGAATCGGCATTCTTTCCTATAGTCATTTCTGAAACTCCTCTTCTTTTCCACCTACTCACTAGGAGGTTTCAGCAGTTCTTGACCTGTGGACAAAATCACTATCCCTCCCTGCTTCCCATTCACAGACTGTTGCTAGAAAAGCTACCATTTCCTAGACATAGACATTATTCTTGAACTTGAGATGAACCACAACTCAGAGGAAACACAGGAATACAGCAAACAGAGCAAAAGGGCATTAGGAAGACTTTATAGTTTCTTTCCAGGGATTTCTCAGCAAGGGAGGATGGGGAAGACACATGAGTAGGTGACAAAATGAGGGTCACGGGTGAGCAGTCGCCGGGCCAACATCTGACTAAAGAAAGCAACCTATCCTGTTTCCCAAATAAATCTGGTTTCAGAGATCCTTCTGTTGTCATTGTCTTTCGCCTGCATTGGTCACCAGCCCTCAGCACCATCGCAGCCCACTCACAGGGCTACCTGGCGAGGGCCGGCTGGCCTTACAGATCGCCTTCCCTGCCATTGTCATGCTTCAAGGCAGGCCAGGCGGTGCAGCCCATGAGAGCCTGGGTGGCCGCAGTCCTCTCTCCTTACTGTTAACCTACCCAGGAAGGCAACATGGGCATTTGGTATGCAAGTAACTAATGAGGCAGTCAAAGAACTTGTTTCATAGCCTTCAGGCCTCCATCACAGTCCCAAAGAATGAGGAATAATGAGGGTTTCAAATCTTTCATTGTAATAACGGCCAGCAAACAACGATGTTGCCATTCTTAGGACTATTGGACAAAAACAGCAGGCTGCCCAGCTGAATCAGTGATCTATCCGAAAAAGCATAGTTGCTACAAACCCCACTTCTCATGTGTGCTTTGTTGCAGCTGAACAACTTTACAGGCTCAGCAAGGCCCTAGGTCTTGTCAGCGCATGAGGAAGTTAGAGTGACAGGGATGTGCCTGGTTCCAGCTGACACTCGAGGCCAAAGAACAGCCAGCTCTGTTCAGTGTCGGGCTAAAGGGGATGCACCTGTCTGAAGTCCTCTGCTCTGATCCTTTTCACCCTTTAGTGGGGTCACAGCTGCTATCCTTGGCATTCAACAAAAGGGTAAAGAGTAGAGGGAGGAAGCCACTGTTGAAATGCTCTTTTTATCAGTCAGATGGAGGGGGAGTAGCCCCGAGTCCCTAGTCTGTGCTCTCGCCGGGTCCAGGGAGGACGCGCTGTGCCCCCTGTGAAGCGGACACTGTGCTACCAGCATGGACCCTCATTTTCCAGGGAAAGCCACCATTTCATTTAAGTGAATGGGAACAAATCCAGGAGAATAAACAGATTTTGGCCCATATTTTGGCATGTATATATCCAGTTGAACTTTCTTACAAAGTCTTTCAAAACAGTCATTGTGGATACTAGAAAGTCATTTTTCATGAGACAGTTTTCACTGAAAATGTCTTCAGAATCTTTTTTGAAATGGCCTCAAGACTGTTGCAATGACAAATGCTTGCTGAACGGTGACCTGTGCTGGGTACTGTGCGAGGCTGCTGTGTAAACAGAGGAAAACTACCTTTACATAATTAACAGTCACATCGCTGTTGGCCAGAGCTGAGAGTCCCCAAAGTGTGTATCAGAGAACATGCATTCGTTAAGGGTAAGTACATATTATAAGAAAAAGTCTTTGCATAAGCAGGCCTAGAACTTGCAGGATTAGGACATTTGGCATCTCAGCTGCAGAATTACCACTTCAGTCGTGAGGCCCCCTGAGGACAGCCATGTCAGGAGCATTCCTTACCATCATTTGAAATCTCTTGTCAAGGAGCATCTCCAGGGTTCTGCAAACTAGCAATCACTCCTGCTGCCACTGCAGAGAACCTGCAAGGCTTCCTCACGGCTCCCTGAGCACGCCAGCGAGGACCTCAGCTGCAGGCTTCCATCCACCAACAGTGGCATCTCTTCACCTGAAGCGTTTCTCTGGTACCCATGCCTGTCACACACAGGCACAGGGGGCGGAAAGTGGGGGGATTAACACCCCTGGGTCAGAGGCCACCCTCTCCGACCCTACACCTCCAGCTGTAGCACATGGCAACTAGAAGAAGGAGAAAGTGCGCTTCTCCAAGCAGCGCCCCCACCACCCAATCCCCAGGTAGGAGTGCCCTGCGAGGTCCGGGGCACAGCGGCTTCAGCAGCAGGCAGTGACCTGTCTTCAACAAAGCTGCCGCCAAATGCGAGCAGTCCATAGGACTTTGCTGCGAGGGGACATGACGAAGACAAACTCAGCCCATAGTCAGAGCTCGCCACGGAGGGGGATCCTTGCACTCGGACCCTGCCGGGCCATTTTCCTGGTCTCCTGGCTGCAGTCTGTGCCATCTGATGTAGTGAAAGAACCATACAGAGGGCTCCCAGTGCTGGCCTGG